GGAAAACCTCGTTCAGTACCCTATTTGGTTGTTATGCGTATAAAGTCATGCCCTTTGGGCTTTCAAGGGCCCCTGGGGTCTTTATGTAACTAATTAATGAGGTGCTACATGAATTTTTGTATTGGGGAGTACTGGTTTACCTGGATGACATCCTGATTTATTCTGACAATTTGAAAGACCATGTAAAACTAGTATGTAAACTCTTTAAAAAATTGCTAGACACACAATTATATGCCAAGTTATCAAAATGTGAGTTCCATAAAACCCAAGTGGATTATTTAGGGTATCGCATATCCCAAGCAGGAATTGAAATGGACCCAGCCAAAGTAAAAGATGTAATCGGTTGGGAAGCTCCCAAAACCAGGAGACAACTGCAAAGTTTTTTGGGATTTGCTAACTTTTACAGGCAATTCATTCCAAACTTTACGCAAGTGGCACTGCCACTAACAGATTTATTAAAAACCAAAGGCAAGGGAACAACTAAGGCTCAAAAGCCCGGGGCCCCATTGACATGGACCGAGTGCCAAAAGGCATTTGAAACACTCAAAGCCTTATTCACAGCTGAACCAATTCTCAAACACCCAGATCCTGACCAGCCCTTTGTAATTCAAGTTGATGCCTCAGATGTAGCAATAGGAGCTGTGCTACTTCAAAAAGACGAGGGAGGGGTACTCAAGTCCTGCGCCTATATCTCTCGTAAGTTCACTGAAACCGAAAGGCGTTGGCTGGTATGGGAAAAAGAGGCTTTTGCAGTTTGGTGGGCTTTATTGACTTGGCAACACCTCCTAGAGGGATCATCCCATCCATTTGAGGTGTGGACTGATCATAAAAATTTGGAAGCCCTGACAACACCCCGAAAACTCTCCCCAAAACAAGTTCAATGGGCCCAATTTTTCAGCCATTTCAAATTTACACTAAAGTTTATCCCAGGAGGGAAAAACTTCCTGGCTGATGCTTTATCAAGACTTCCCCAGCACAACAGCCAACGAGAACAAGTAGTAGCACCAGTGATTCCCAAAGGCCAAACCGGCTCGGTGGCACTCACTAGAACCCAGGCTCAGAAAATAAAAACTGTTCCAACAAGTGAACTACTTCAAAAAATAAACTCAGTGTTAGAAACAGATGAATGGTTTCAGACCAATAAAAATGCTTTAACAAAAGAACAAGAAACATGGTGGATGGGAGACAAATTATATGTGTCATCTAAACTACGCCAAGACATTTTACAAAGAGGCCAGGATGACAAAACATCTGGACATTTTGGATTTGTAAAAACTTTACATTTATTACGTAGACAATTCTGGTGGCCTACCATGAGAAAAGACATATCTGAATATATCAATACATGCCCCACATGTGCTATGGCAAAAAAGAGGGGAGGAAAACCTTTGGGACTATTACAACCAGTAGCTACCCCTCACCAACCCTGGAAAAAAATTGCCATGGACTTTATTGTTGATTTCCCAGAGAGTAATCACAACACAGTCATATGGGTGGTCACAGACCTATTCTCCAAACAGGCACATTTTATTCCCTGTGCCTCCATTCCAAATGCTAAGATACTAGCCAAGTTATTCATTCAACATATATATTGCCTCCATGGCGACCCCCAAAGGGTAATTTCAGATCATGGCCCACAATTCACGTCCAAATTTTGGAGGGAATTTATTAATGTCAGGACCTGTGCAAGCTATTATTCAAAGCCAGTAGAAAGTACGTTAAGAATGTAGAATAGTGATGTATAGTTCACTAGACCGGCAAGATCGTGCGCCTGCTTCTGTTGCGGAGAAACAGGGCATTTCAGAGCCAATTGCTCTAAGCCCAGCCCTGTACGGGCAGCGGAACCAAGAAGAGCCCCAGGAGCTGGACCAAACCCCCCCTCGCAAGGGGAAAAGAAGGCACCGCGGCTGGGGGAACGGAAGCGCAATTCCGGGATCCCATAATCTACAAGGAGGGATTGGTAGGAGAAGCGCAGGCGGAAGAGGCGGACCGCCCCAACTGCGACCCTGACAAAACGAACGGCCCGCAGGCCGACAAGGATGACAACACCGACGAGGAGGGATTCTTTTTCGAATGTAATGACATTCGTCTTGTTGGAGGGCGGCATGTCAGGACCTGCGCAAGCTATTATTCAAAGCCAGTAGAAAGCATGTTAAAGATAAGACTATGATTTGTATAACCGCTTGCTGGTTCCTGCCGTAAAAGTCAGGAGGAGGGGGGAAATAAAACAACAAGAGCCAGGTGCAACCGTTATCTTGGTTGGAGGCACCAGCAAGGTCAAGTGGCCGTGAGACCAGGGAAGAGGCGCGAAGAAATTCAAGCGAGAAAAGTAGAGGGGGGGAGGAAAGGAGTTAAAAGGATGGCTTTAGGCTAGGGAAAACCAGACTCAACAATCTATGGAATGCTGTATGCTACTTCTCAATAAAGAAATCCTTGATGGAAACAAATAGACTCCAGAGGATTTACTGAACTTGGGAATTGAGTGTGCAGACTCTGACACAGAATGGGAAACTGGTGTCACACTATACGCCAACAGTGTGATGCAGGTGCTAAAAAGGCATATCCTACCTGGAGTACTGTGTCCAGTTCTGTGCACCACAGTTCAAAAAGGATACTGACAATTTGGAGCAAGTTCAGGATACCTAGATTGTGAGGAGTCTGGAAAGAAATCCTATGAGAAACAGTTCAAACTCCTGGTTATGTTTAGCCCACAGAAGAAATGACAGAGTCATTTGATATATTTTTATATTTTTATATTATATTTGATACAGTGGGGCAAAAAAGTATTTAGTCAGCCACCAATTGTGCAAGTTCTCCCACTTAAAAAGATGAGAGAGGCCTGTAATTTTCATCATAGGACAGCTCTTTGGTCTTGGCCATAGTGGAGTTTGGAGACTGACTGTTTGAGGTTGTGGACAGGTGTCTTTTATGACAGCTCTTTGGTCTTGGCCATAGTGGAGTTTGGAGACTGACTGTTTGAGGTTGTGGACAGGTGTCTTTTATGACAGCTCTTTGGTCTTGGCCATAGTGGAGTTTGGAGACTGACTGTTTGAGGTTGTGGACAGGTGTCTTTTATGACAGCTCTTTGGTCTTGGCCATAGTGGAGTTTGGAGACTGACTGTTTGAGGTTGTGGACAGGTGTCTTTTATGACAGCTCTTTGGTCTTGGCCATAGTGGAGTTTGGAGACTGACTGTTTGAGGTTGTGGACAGGTGTCTTTTATGACAGCTCTTTGGTCTTGGCCATAGTGGAGTTTGGAGACTGACTGTTTGAGGTTGTGGACAGGTGTCTTTTATGACAGCTCTTTGGTCTTGGCCATAGTGGAGTTTGGAGACTGACTGTTTGAGGTTGTGGACAGGTGTCTTTTATGACAGCTCTTTGGTCTTGGCCATAGTGGAGTTTGGAGACTGACTGTTTGAGGTTGTGGACAGGTGTCTTTTATGACAGCTCTTTGGTCTTGGCCATAGTGGAGTTTGGAGACTGACTGTTTGAGGTTGTGGACAGGTGTCTTTTATGACAGCTCTTTGGTCTTGGCCATAGTGGAGTTTGGAGACTGACTGTTTGAGGTTGTGGACAGGTGTCTTTTATGACAGCTCTTTGGTCTTGGCCATAGTGGAGTTTGGAGACTGACTGTTTGAGGTTGTGGACAGGTGTCTTTTATTGTCTCTCATAGTTGAGGTATACCTATGATGAAAATTACAGGCCTCTCTCATCTTTTTAAGTGGGAGAACTTGCACAATTGGTGGCTGACTAAATACTTTTTTGCCCCAATGTATATTGATATATTTGATATATTGATATATATTTGATATGATAGCAGTCTTCAAATATCTGAAGAAGCCAGAAAAGACAAATATCTGAAGTTGCCAGATAAAAAAGGGAGGTGGATGTATTCTCAATTGCCCAGAGAGCAGGACCAGAGTCAATGGAGTAATACTAGAAGGAAATGTCCTGACTGTGCGAATTATCAACTAGTGGAACAGGCAGCCAAATGAAATGGTAAGGTTTTTTTCCCCGCTGGAGCTCTTCAAACAGAGTTTGGATGGTAATCTGCACTGAACCTGGACTTCCAACTCTATGATTCCATGAAGGCAGATTAATATTGAATATTACAACAATGAAGAACAGTTCAACAATGGATGCACTTACCTAGATAGATAGAGGGCTCCCTTTCACTGGATGTGTTCATGTAGAGGGTAGACAGATAATCCATCAGGAGTGCTTTTATTGTGATTACTGCACTTGAATTCAGTAGCCTACATGAACAATTCCAACTCTGATTTTTCAATTCTTGCTCCTGAAAATCTTTAATTGACTTTCCCTGATGTCATTTTTATTATTTAGATTCATGGACAAGAGTTCTTGTCCATGAATCTAAATAATACAGCAAAGTTTCCTCAAGCAAAGTTTGCCTATCTAATAATAGGCAAAGTTCCCTCAAAGCTTCTTTTGATCCACTAGTCTAAAAACTCCAACCTGAGTCTGTAACAGTCCATAAAACAAGAACTTTTGGACATTACTGTAAAATTACATAATGGAAATATAAGCATTTTCTTGTATGAGATCAGTTAACTGCTACAGATACTTCCATGTTTCACTTTGGGAATAATAATAGGTCTGAAGATTTAATCAGCCCTTTGCCTCATTACACTTGTCAATATACACAATACCAGGTCTGAAAATTTCAGCTGTGTTCAGTTTGAGAGTAAAGAGACAGATGTCATGCTGAGGAGTGTATGCAGTGTGCAAGTTCCCCATCCCTGATCAAAAAATAATGTTGTTCCTTCCTCTCCTTTCACTCTTTCTTGGTTTCCTTCTCCCAGTGTAACCAATGAATTTATCAAATCTATCAATCTTTAATGTGCCGCTTGAAACCCACCCTTCCCTATTTCATTTTTCCTGTTTTCTGCAGAAGGAAAATGTTTTCTAACATTTTTCACATTTTTTTTGTTCAATTTTAAACATTTATAACCTATATGATTACATCTACATAAACCTTACTTGACCAAAATTTACAGCTGCATGTTGTGCTGAACTTGTGAATATCACTATAGTAAGATATTCAGAAAGCTTTTCCCGTGTCTTGATTGTCTTAGGAAATCCTGAAAAGCAGAGAGATAGAGAAAATAAATACTTTTAAAACTTGAAGGAAGTCAATAGAGTCCTTTCCAAGCTGCTTGAAATGAATTTTCTGTATTTTTTCTTTGTTCTAGGATGCAGGGAGCAAACCAATTAAATTACTCTATAGGGGGTTGTGAAAACAAACCAATGTATTGAAAAGAAACCAATATATATAAGCAACAGTTGGAATAAAAAAAATCTTATCAATATGAACTTTTTGTGTGTCTCGAAGAATGCAAAATACTCTTCTGCTTCTGTTTGTTCTTGCTATAAAAATGGCAGTAGCATAACAGCATATAACCAGAAGTTTGGGGGATTGGGGGATGGGAGCCAAGGAAGATGATTTAGTAGACTGGCTTGAAACCTGAAAGAGACTTAGGTATGAAGACTACATGCTAATTTAAGAATTAGCTTAATGGGTAAAAATTAAATATTGACAAAGGACTGCCATCAGTCTGACAGGTTTTTGTTAGATTTTAATCAAAACATTTTGCTGGAGATGGTCTTGGTCAACTTTTTAAAAAATAACACTTGTTTTGTTTTAAGAGTAAATAATACTGTATCTTGTTTTTTTAAAAAGATAAAGAATTAGCCAAAAAAGTGTCAGATGTTGTTTTAAGTGTGAATAACATTTCTTTGAACATAAAGATCCAAATATGTTTTATTGTAAGAGGAGAAGAAAACAGTTCTGATATAGTTTATAACATTGTTGACATCACCAGTAACCCTATTCCACTGTTACAATGTATTATTCTTAATATTTTTTTCATTTTCTCTCAGATTTCCATTTTCTTCAGAAAAGGAAGAGATTTGTTTGCTTGAAATATAATTAAAGGAATAAACTAAAGAATTGGTCAAAAGGAGGAAAGTTCCATGTGCACTAGAACTTAATTGCAATAGAAGTTGTACATCACCTGAATCCTTGTTGCCCCTCATCCCATAGACAAAGATGTCCTTCACAAAAGCCTGGAGTTCCAAGTCTTCACACACTGCTTCTTCACTTCCATAATATATGTTAACAATATCTGTCACAAAACTTCAAAAATATAAAAGAAACTTAATAAAAAATTATATACTCTCACATTAATCTTGAATCCTCCCCCAATTAATAACTTTCATCTCTGTGTGAAAACATGTACACATACATACTTTTTGCGAAAAATATTTCTAGTGCAGTGGCTCCCAAACTTTATTTGTAAAGTGAAAAAAACATGAGCTTTCTCAGAAGGAAAATGTAGAGAAGATAGTTTTGTATGCATGTTCTCATCCATATAGGTTTAATCATGAAATAAAAACATGTTCAAAGGGTATCCTGCCATTTTGGATTTATCTTTCTCATAGACAATGTGTCTATGGTGGTGTAATGGGGAGCACTTGTATGTACCCATAAAGTAATGTGGTAGCATAGGCACCTTAGCTCCCATGAGGGTCTCTACATCTTCCTCTCCCCCGTAACTCCTGGGAAAAAAATCCTACTTGGTAAATGTTTATTTTCTTCTACAGAAAGTCTCGCTCTGTACCCAGGAGGATGAAAGTGGGAAATCTCCTGTCTCTGCCTAAAGTAAAAATCCTTTGAGAATGAGAGGGCTGGTTCATTAAGAAATGCTAGGCTTTATTATGGAAGTCAAAGTTAAGACACTAATGGGAAATGAAGCCAAAAGGAGAAATAGAGGAAAATAACAATTGGCATCAATAGATTTATCTTGGAGGCTACTCTTCCAGCAAGATGGACAGCAGACAGACAGAGCAACTCAGGTAATTTTCCAAAACAAAATCAATGCTATAAACCTAGTTTCAACTAGTTCCTAGATTGCTATATAGTTCCTGGCTCTCCAATCCCAGACCCTGGGAGACTGAAGGACTGCTTAACTGGTTAGGAGCCAGTCTAGAAGAGATGCTGTGTTTGTCCCATAAAAGGAAGGTAAAAGAGGCAAACTACAAAATTGGAGGAAAATTTTCCAGTTCCTGATTGTCAGAATTTGATTTGCCTCAGCTTTGAAAGGCTCTGCCCACTATCTAAACTGACAGGCTAGATTTGATTGACAAATCAAATTTGGGGTTTTCTTTCTCTTTCATGACTGAACTTTTGAAGATGGGATTTCGTCCCATCTACTTGAACTGGGGTGGGGGTGTTAACCTCTGGCCCCTAGGAAGTATTTCAATGTGTGGACTTACAGAGTTTGTATTTCTGTGGACTTCAGCTGTGGTAGTGGACAGATGTGCCACCTACCTTAGGAAGAAGGCCATTATAAATCTTTTTCTTTTTGATTTTATAGGTAGACAAAGTATTCCAAACTTCAAATATTCTGAGCTTGCAAGAATATCTTGTGGATAATACAAAATATTCACATCTCTGAGTTTTTGACAAAACACTATTCTTGCCAACTCTTGCAACAAAACAGAGCCATTATATAATACTTCCATTGGTTCTGGATGTTATGATTGGTCATTTTGTAAGCTATGATTGTTTTCCCCAGCCTAGCCACTACAACAGCAGGAACCAATTCTATCCTTGCCTATTGGCTAGACTGAATGGAATAATGGAGGAGAAACCCAGTAGTTTTCCAAGCATATACTACAGGGCTCCATTCACTGACTCACCTGCCTCTAAATTCAGCAGTATCCAATTCTAAACATAAGCACAGATGAAGACTGTTATTAATTCCCTGCCTGCCAGCATAAGTTTAGAGCTTTTTAAAAAAACTTTCCTATGGGGAAATCAGAGTTTCAAGTTGTGTCTCATGCATATCTTTGGTTTTGCATTTGTGCCTTCTTTTGCAGGCAGGCAAAGGCATGTGTATGTATATACTATATACATTCCATGTGGGTTGCTGCTGCTGCTATATTTTTATCCCACCTTTTTATATATTTTGGTCAATTCAAGGTGAACATACCTACTACTCCTTTCTTTTCCCCCCACAACAACAACAATCCTGTGAGGTGTGTTGGGCTGAGAGAGAAGGGCTAGTCCAAAGTCACCCAGCCGGCTTTCATGCCCAAGGGAGGACTAGAGCTCACAGTCTCTAGGTTTCTAGGCCAGCATCTTCACCACTACACCAAACTGGCTATCTGATACTGTTGAGATTTTCAAATAGTAAGTTGTAAATATAACTAATAGATTGTTGGTTTTGTTGGTCTATTGCATGCAGTGTACAGTTTCATGTCTTACTGATGCTAAGCTTTTATGGTGTATGTTAAAACCACAAAGGCTACTATGTTGGTTTGGTTGGGTTGCTAAACATTTCTGCCTGGAGAATGCATAGTATTAGTGTAGGGTTTCCTGGTTTTTTTCCCCTTAATATGCAAATTTTTAACCATATTTTTTCACAGTTGCCCTTAGCACAACAGGCATAAAAATCCAGCAAACAATAAAGCTAATTTGTGGTTGTTAGACAGAGTACAATAAACATGCTAAAACTTCTGATTCTGAAAACTGTGTGGGGATTTAAAAAATGTTTTCAATTGAAAAAAATTATCACCTTTTCTGTAGGATTACAAAGTTTTGTATGGAACCTGGGAGGCAAATGTCTACAATTTAAAATGGAGTACAAGTTGACAGGATAAAAAAGCAGATAAGAGCTAGCTAAGAGTAGGAATATAAAAGAAATTCTTCAAGGATTTCTGTAAGCAGATTTGAAAAAATATTCAAAACAGGCTCCACTCACTGCATTGTGGCAACACTGTATGTATAAGCTTGTGGGTCTGATTAATCCCTCTCCATGGGAAAAAAATTCTGAAAAAATTATTGGCAACATCTATTTAGCAGACTTTTGATTTGGTTGTCCTCTTATATTCCTGTTCCAGCATAGAACATTTGCATACAAATCTGCCCCAAATTCCATGGCATGTGAATTCCCTTGCCATGTTGTAAGGCTCAGTCAATTGTGAAACGCTGGGGAACTGTAACTAATTTGGTCTCCTCATCTAAATCTTTTGCTGGCAGCCAATTCAGAAATGGCTCTTGTTGCTGAGCCCTCTTTACAATTGCTGGGCATCCCTTTGCATATTAGGTAGGCCAAGAAAAGATTTTGTCCCTAGGAATTCCTTGGATAGATCTGTCTGGCACTGGTTGCATTTGCAATCCCAGAATCCTTGAGTAGAACCTGAAATAGGCTCTTCGTAAAGAGTGTGTCCTCCCTGTCCAGAAATCTCTGCAGTGGGAAGGTCAAACGGTAAAAGCAGCATTGTTACCATCCATCCTTTTTGTATATGCATCATAATACTGATTTATATGTGAATAAATGGACAGAAAGGACAGAAACAAATTTTAATTATGATTTTTCATCTGAGTTGGCATTCCCCTCCAAGTGCCTTCTAGCTTATGATCTATTCCTCTGTAATTATATCTGCCATGTCAATCTCTGTCTTGGGCTGCTTCTTATACCTTGACAGTTATTTGTCTTCAAGATCTAATACTATGATTCGGTGCTAGAGAGGCTAGTTATTCCCTGATCCCAATATTCATCAGTACAGTTCACTGTCCCTTTGCAAATTATTGAACAACACTTCCCACACGTTAAAAGAAATTATTGAAAAGAATAATAACATCCTGTAATGAATAGAAATAAGTAAGCAATGGAAAACTTTACTGTTTGGTAATGTCAGGCCTAGTCCAAGGAACTCCTGGAGACCATGTAGGTTCAATCAACAAGGTTTATTAGCTAGGGCTTATTTACAGAATCTTTTCAGACTGACCAGTAGTTCCCAGGCACAACTCTCTACTATCT